GAGTGTAATTTCAAATAAAATAAAATAAAATAAAATAAATATTTGTGCCGCGTCCTGCTGAAGCAGACAGTCGGTTAGTCTGGCTCCTACCTCAGTTTCGCTATCTTAGAATAGTGGACTTTGGTAGCGCGGTAAGTCTATAAACTTGCCGATTAACTTCTATTATATTGTTCTAAGGAAGACGATACATGGCCGAAACGCGTAAGCAATTTTATTGCTTTTGAACTGCCATGTTTAGACTTAGATAAAATTAGAACAGTATTGAAATACAATATCATGTCAAGATTAGCTAACAGTCGGATTTTGTCAATCTAGATTTGCTTTCCTGAGAATATCTTCGTGTTACGCGGAAATCACGAGGAAGAAAATCTGAACCAGCTTTACTCTTTTGTCAGCGAAGTACATCTCAAGTTCAAGAGTAAGCAAAAAATTTCATTTTCATTCAGGACAGATATGGTCATAAATATCTTCAGCAAAGTCAGCTTCACCAGCGGAAACATGTTCTATGTACGCACATTTCAAAGCAGTCTTCGTCAATCTGCCTTTAGCCTGCTTGATAGGCGATGACATTCTTGCCATGCATGGCGGTATTAGTCCATTATTAGGGAGTCTTAAGGTAACAGCATAGCAATTGTAACTTGCAGGTGATTAGAGAAATGCGTTTTACTTCAGGACATACAAAAAATAGAGCGTCCTATCGAGGAATTTGTCAAAGGTACATTAGCTTGTGATTTAGTTTGGTCAGATCCAGATACAGACGGATTTGTTAGGAAGTATGAACCAAATTATGAAAGGTACTATGCCACTACAGTGTGTAGCGTTTCGAACATCATACTTCCTTAGGGAATCAACAGTAGGCATTGGTCAGCTGTTTTCAAAGGTTGCCGTTGAGGAAACTTGTAATCGACTGGAAGTAAAAATGATAATTCGTGGACATCAAGTAAGTTTGAGTCTGACTCGAGAAAGAGTGCCGACTGCGGAAAGGGATTATATATGGAGGAAGAAGCACAGACTTGTAGGACCTTGCCCCAGGCACATTAGGAGTAACGGAGAATGCAAATGTTAGGTTGGAAACTAAGTTTTGCATCTTCTGTAATAGCATTCCTCTTTTAAATATGACGCCCTCAAATTTTGCTGGTATATAGATCATGACATAAGCTACAAGCGCAGCTGGTGTTCCGCGAAATTCTGACGTCACAGTGAGGGTTCGGTAAGCATA